TACATCTGCAACTTCTGTGTGATGCCTCTTCACAAAGGGGAATGTTTCCAGAGATATCACACACATAAGCACTTCTAGGAGCTCTGGTAAGTGTTGTCCAAAAATTTTAGTTCATAAAATTAATTAGGAGATTTTATATTAATTTTTGAAGTGAACAGTGCACAAGTTAGGGTGTTAGGCTTAAAAACCCCAGTCCCCAGGGTGATTTAAATATTTAAACAACCGGTCCGCAATGTGTTAAAATCAATAATGTGCCCATAGGCTATTATGTTAGCATATAAATTTTACACATTAAGAGTGAATATCCACACTCCTCAAGTTGTTTTGGTTTTACATAATTTATCTTCACAACATGTTTCTTCGTCATTGGGCCATCATCAGGTGAATTCTATCCTGGGGTGAGGCCACTACACTGTATTTGATTCCCGTACTTCTCCTGTGCATGTCGTTATTTATTTCATGCTGTATGCTGGTATACAGTATACCACTATACCGGCAGACCACAGTGGGGACACTGACATAGGGAAACATGAATACAAACTGAGAATCACAAAATAGCTGGATAAAAGTGAAATTTAACAACTAGCATGAAGTAAATAACGATGTGTATGAGAGAAGAACGGGAATCAAATACAGTGCAGTNGGGTCTGGTCAAGTGAGATTTCTGGTGGACAAAGTGGCGCTGGGGCAGGTTTTCTCCGAGTACTTCGGTTTCCCCTGCCAATCTTCATTCCACCAATTGCTCCACAATCACCCTCACCTATCATCTGGGGCTGGTACAATAGGCCAGAAGTGGCTGCAGTACATGGGACTTAGTCCCACCCCACTAGCAAAAAAAGAAGTTGTATTATTGACGGACACGTTAGTAAAATAGGATGTCTCAATACAACAGGACGCTGAAACATAATATGGGATTTAATATTTTAATCAAATTCTTTTACAGTATAAAACGATGTGACTGATTTTATATTTGGCACACGGCTGTTGTGGCCAGAGGTAAATACTTCATAAACTCAAGTGTTCGTGAATTTTAATTTTACAGTGCCGATGTCAAAGAAGGATTTGGACATAAATTTGTTTTATAGCATGATGTGAATATAAATGTAACTTTGTGAATTATACCGGTTTCAGTTGAAGTGACTGCATCAAAAACTGACGGAGAACCCATCACTAGCAATGTAAGTGTAACACCAAAGAAAGTTGAGTGTGTCAGCCCCCATTATGAAGAAGGTGATGAAAATGCCACCAAAGAGACTATAAATGTAGGGATATCAGAGAAACCAGGGTGCACCAGTGCTATCAGAGACAGTGCTCGTTCTAGACTTCGTAGGCTTGGAGCCTTATATGCAGGTGGGTAATGTGGAAACGGTGCCTTTGAATTACTTTCAAGTTGTTAAAAAATAGTACATAATGTATCTTTTAAAGTGATATTTTTAGTAGTAAAATATCCAAACATATTCAGAGTTTGAATTTTGGAAACATTTCAGAAATATATTTCTCTTTTTATTTTCACATACCATATAATATATGAGAAAGTTTGACAGATTTACATGTTTTCAGCACCTGTGTATATGAGAAGTGGGTTTTGGAAAGCCATCTGTCTGTGTTTATGTAATGTGTCCCTTACTAGTATCTAAACAGTTGGACAGATTGTATTTGTGTAAGATTCGAGGATTCCACAGTTTTGACTATGAAGAATGCTGTCTTCTGGAATGTGGTGCCATGTAGATCTTATGTGAACTGATGTTTTGGAGGAACGTTCCTCCGAAATGTCGGTTCACACAGATCTACATGGCACCACATCCCAGAAGATAGCATTCTTCAGATTGTATTTATATTTGGTATTTAAGAGTTTATGTATCATTGATCAGTGCCCAATGAATAAGAACATTCTGATTCCAAAAATGGGATCCCTTCATATGGGCCTCAAGAAACAAATGGTGTTTTTCTTGAAAATGTCTGTAATGATTTTGATTAGATTTCAGTAATTTCTGGAGACCATTGCACTAAAACCTGCTTAGGTGATGTTTTCAGGAAGGTAATAGTATGGGCATGAAGGACCGAAATGGTTATATGATGCATATATGTCTTCATAGGTTGCATCATCAGAGACAAAAATGGTCTGCAAAACAAGAACCGCCTTCGTTTCCCAGGCAACATAGTGAAGGCCGGTTGTACATGAGAAAATATGTGCAGTGTCTTTGCACCAAATATTTCTTGTTCGTAATTTTCCTTTGTCACATATAGAGCAGTAGAAAGAGCCCTGTGACCTAGAGGACCAGTCAATAGTATATTTATAGAACTAGTTCTTATACCTTGCTCCTATTGTACACTTGGCTGGAAAATCTTCCCGTTCTGATGTGTGCTCCTTGATTGCAAACAAGATGTTCCTTCTGCAGATAAAATTTAATTTTTCTTTTACATTTTTCTACTTATAAACTGAAAAAGATTGTTTCTCTTTGTACTACATTTGGTGTACTATTGTATAATGCAGACTCACAGCTGTCATCGCCAATCCATAAAACAGAGGCACATTTCAGTGCAGAACAAGCTGAAGTAGAGAATGAAGTGCCACAACGAACACATTCGAAGATGAAATCAGGAGCTCGGCTAGCCAAGTTGGCTATGCTTGCTGACACTATCAGACACTGGGAGGACGAAGTCAGCCATCCTACTGCTGTTTCTTCACATGCTGTATGTAAATCTAAAGCATACATTTGAGAAATTTGAGGGCCTTGTGAAGTCTAATAATGAAATATTGTAGCTCAGCAAATATAATGACTGGTTAGATGCTGCCAGGAATCATATACCAATCATGGGTCTTTCCTTCCCTACAGGGGTAGAGAATTTTCTCATTGCCAGTTGTCCATATAACCCCTAGGGCCATCCATCCTCCTGAAACTTTAATAAGCACAAGGACAACTTTACCTTTACCTGTACAGAATCTAATAATCTATCATGTAATTTTCTTAAATAATGTTACTCATTGTGAAATTAGACTGAAAATCTCATAGTTTGCTGTCTTGTATCCTAAAGCCTGAACAGCCGTAGGACTTAATTTGCTCCACTTATGGCAGCTTTTCTCATGAATCATGCAATTATTTTACTTTGCAGAGTCCAGACCCAAATAAAGGAAGCTCTGGTAATGATGCCAACCACACTACCAGTACTGCAGAAACATTGAGTTCCAAAATAGAGAGCAAACCAAATCCTGACCAGCAGTGTTTGAAAGTGGCTAAAACAAAGCAATTTATGTTGGATGAGAACACTGTTGCAACTCTTGTATGTATTGAAACTAATATACATTCATGAATTGAATTGAATTGAATTTATTTACATTCTGTAAATCCTAAGCAGGTTAATACCTTTGGATACAGAACAAGTCAAAAGGTTACATACATAAGTACAGGCAATTTTAGCTTAAAAATTAATATAACTTAATTTTACATCATTCTCTATTTACATTGAAGTATTCATCTAAAGAGTAGAAGGAATGAGCATGTAGATAATTCTTTAACTCTGATTTAAACTTTTTAGTATCATTGCCCAAGTTTTTAATACTTTGTGGCAGATTGTTGAACACTTTTATGCCAGTAAAGTAGACTCCTTTTTGATATACTGATAAAGTTGATGAGGGTAGGTGGAAGTTATATTTTTGTCTAGTATTCATGTTATAGACATCAGAATT